CCTCCAGAATAGCGACAGATCACTCCCGTTGTGGAACGTCCGGTTTCTGGATCACCTCCGTGGTCGGCGTCGCTAAATCCTTCTATGATTCCAGGTTTGAGACCAGCTTTATATGAGATCCCATGCGAAAAGGTACCTTTGATGTAGCGCAAGATACGTTTTACCTTGAGCCAATCTGTCTTTACAGGTTTCTCCAACTTTCTTGAGACAACTCCGATGGCATAAGCAATGTCAAGGCGAGTACCAACCATTAAGTATGCCAGAGCACCGACAGCTTCTCTATATGGGAAACAGGAAGCTTCCGTTTCTTCTTTCCCTTCTTGAATAGTCTCTTTCTCAATCGGTGTGGAAACGGGATTACAGTCACTCATTTGAAAGCGGTCTAATACCTTTTTCGCGTATGCCTCTTGGTTGATGAAGATGGAGCCATCCTTTCCTCGATGGATTTGAAGACCAAGATAATATGCCGCTGGTTTCGTCGTTATGCGCAGTTTCTTCTTCAAATCTTCTAAGAAAGCGTTAGCCGTATCTTCATCAGTGGCAGCTACTAATCCGTCATCGACGTACAACGTGATCAGTAGTTTCTTCCCGTTAACTTCTCTTGAATATAAGCAGCAATCAGCTTCGGACTGTTTGAAGTTCATATCCAATAGGTCTCTTGAAAGCAAGAATTCCAGCACCTTGGTGCTTGTTTAAGTCCGTACAGGCTACGGTTAAGCTTGAAAACGGTAGACGTTCCTTCCGTGAGGTTGCACCCTTCTGGCGGTTGAACGTATATTTCTTCCTCGAGCTTTCCGTTCAGAAAGGCTGTGCAGACGTCGAATTGGACCAGATGTAAGTTTTCATGCGCACTAACACTGAGTAGTGCTCGTACAGTAGTCATGCGTGCCACAGGACTGAAGGTCTGGTCATAGTCTACTCCTTTCCTTTGTCTGTACCCTTTTACGACAAGTCGAGCCTTGTATTTGTCGATCGTGCCATCTGGATTTCGTTTGATCCGTAAAACCCATTTGCAGGGAAGTGCTTTTCGTCCTTTTGGCAATGCACATAGCGTCCAAACGTTCAGGTCTTCGAAGGATTTCAATTCGCTATCCATTGCCCTTTGCCATTCTTCGCGATCGTCCCTTTTCATAGCGTCTGCGAAATTATTTGGAAATGTTTCAGTGATACAGACGTAATCTCTTAGTCTCTCAGGACGTCGAATCAGTGAGCGATCTCTAAGATTATAGCCGGTTGGCGGTGGTTCAGCGTCATAAAATTCTTCTGGAACTGTTGTTTCGTCTCCATGGTCATGGTCTTCGTAGAGGACTTGATCCGATTCTTCTCCCTCGAGAACATGATCATGGTCGTTGGAGTTTGTTTCAGTAGTTGTATCTCCCTCGTGAACGTGTGTTTGCTCTGAAATTGCAACTTCTCTTTCTGAGTTCGTGTTTGGCGTTATGGTAATCGGATATTCTCTTGTCTCAACTTCTGTTTTAGGAATTTCACTATTACAGATAGGAAGAGGTTTCTCATCGAAGATTACGTCACGAGAGCGGACGAGCGTCGAGTGTTTTCCGTCTGTGACCCAGATACGGTAGCAATCTTCGTCGTACCCGATAAGTCGACCTTTTATCGCCTTTTTGTCGAATTTTCTACGCTTCTGCTTTGGAATATGGACGTATGCGATTGAGCCTATTATACGGAGATGTTTAATGATAGGTTTCTTTCCATACCAAAGTTCATGCGGAGATTTATCTAAACTTGTGGGACCTGTTCTGTTTAGTATGTATGCGGCGGTATTAATGAGCTCTGCCCATAGCACTTGCGGTAATGGCTCATGAGCGTACATCATTGATCTTGCTGTCTCAACTAGGGTTCTGTTCTCCCTTTCGCTTACTCCGTTTTGTTCAGGTGTATACGGGGTGACGAGTCGCTGTGCTATTCCGTGTGTGTCTAAAACATTTTTTATGGACGCGTTGTCAAATTCACCGCCGTTGTCACTTAGAAGGCATTTTATGGTGTGTTCGACTGTTTTAGTTTGAGCGATCATCAAAACTAACTTGTCTTTGACCTCGGACTTCTTGCGTATGAAGTACACCATACGATAGCCAGTAAAGTCGTCTTTGAACAGAACGTAGTACTTATAGCTTGAGAAGCTAGATTGAAACGGTCCGCAAACGTCGGTGTGTACAATTTCTCCGGGCGCGGTAGCTCGGGTTCTTGTACCGAATTTAAGTCGATGCGCCTTTCCAAAGATGCAGCCTTCACAGGTCTCTTTATCTATCGGCAGGTTTAGACCTAGTTCGCGTTGGATCGTCGCTCTTACGTGTCTTTTATTTTGGTGAGCGAGTCTCTCGTGGTACAGTTGCATCGTTGCTGTAGTTGCAAAGACTTCTGGTGGTTTTTCTGGCAGTACGGGTTTTACTTCCAGTCGATATAAGCCACCTTGTTTTTGTCTCTTCCCTATTAAGCATACTTTCCCGTTGACAATGACGTTGCATTCAGTTGTCCTGGATGAAAAAGTGCTATTCGGGACTCGGTCGTGAAGTGCGAGTACGGAGAAGAGGTTCTTGCTTATGGCCGGAACATACCAGACGTCTTGCAGGCTGATGTCGATTTGTTTTCCGTTAACATATCCTCTGAGCTGTACTGTTCCTTTGCCTTTGGCACGGACTTAATTACCAGCGGCCGTTGTAACAGTGTAGTTCTCATTGAAATGTTCGTAGGTTTGGAAAAAATCAGCTCTGTTGGTGACGTGGCTTGTTGCACCATTATCTATGTACCAGTTCTCGTTGTCCCGTGAAACTGTGAAGATTTCGTTGTCTTCTAAAGACATGAGTAACAAATTAGCGGTCTTTGAAGTAGAAGGCGTTGCTGTCTGGGTCGGATTTTGGCTCTTAGGAGGTCTACCGTCACGGATCCATTTTTGACAGTTGCGTACTCTGTGGCCAATACCTAGGCAGTAGTTGCATTTAAGCTTCTTGTCCTTCTTCTTTTCCGTATTCGAAACCAGGGCTTCCGAATGATGCGAAGGTACGTTGTTACCTTGCAGTGCCCTTTCAAATGCGCAGAAATGACTAGTTAGGTTTTCTACAGTACGGTTGGATTTGGGCAGTAGGAGCCAACTACTTCTGAAGCTGAAGTATGAATCATCAAGCGTGTCCAGTATCTTACAAACAAGTAGCAGTTCGGGTAGCTCTTGGTTACTGTCCTTCTTGAGTTCTTGATTCAGTTCAGTCCAAATGTTCTTTAATTTTGACATGTGAGTGGCTATGTCGTCTGCTTGATCCCTTTTAAAGCTGAAGAAACTCATACACAGGTTGTAGGTTTTGTCCGCATTTGTTCCGTCGAACAGCCTGTGGAGCTCTAACCAGACATCACGTACTTTAGTGAACCGCATAACTTTTCGAAGTGTGTCTTCTTGCATATTGGTGGTAAGTATTAGGATAGCGCTGGCATCAACTTTATCAAACTTATCTTTTTGTTGTTGATAAGCCCCCAATTCAGCATCGCCGCATCCGGTAGGTGGACGAGTAGGCTCCTGGAACGATCCTTCAACTACTTCTAGGGCCGACGGTACGGTGCGTAGTAAGCATAAGGCTTTGTATTTCCAGGTGTCCCAGTTTTTTCCATCTAGGAGGCCGATCTGAAGCTTTCCTGTGATACCTTCCATTTTCGTAGTGCGGGTCCGTAACCTGATATGATNTTTGCGAACGAATATCTGTCCTGAGATTTATGTGTGGGTGTTTTTGTTGTGTGCGAAATACTTGTAATCACAGTGTGTGTATGTGTAGAAATTAAAATAGTGGGGATGAAGCGGCGACACTGGTTCTAATACAAAATTAGAGCAAAGGCCTTTCCAACCTTATTTATCTATTCCGTGGTTGTAACTATACTTGAGACCTTAGAACTTGTATCTCAAGGTGGGTGGCGCATTTACGTTGTGGATGTCTATGGGCTCCAGTAACCACTCAACACCAGGTGGGCTGTGAGGTCGTCCACCTATCTAAGCAATAAAAAAAAAAAAAAAATGAAGCTAAAACGAGACTGAAAAGACGAAGTTTTTTTTTTAAGACGAGTGGAAACTACTGCTTGGGTTGTGACGAAATAATTTCGCCGTATTGTGAAAATACTAGTATATGGTACTAGAAGCAGCAGCTCAAGGCGTTAAACCTCTGCAGGCGATGGGACAGTTCCTGGCAAACCTCTCTCTCTCTCCTTCCAGCTAAGCCCGCCTGCTTCGGTAAAGCTTTAAAGGCCAACGAGGCAACCGCTTACCTCAGTCTCATAATAGAAGAAAAATTTATACTGTAGTGTGCTTGTAGGGTGGTTACTTTTGGTACCCCCATAAACATCAACTGTGCAATTTTTTTTTTTAATGAGTGTTTAGCTGCTTCGCGAATGAATCTACTACCGGATCGGATCGGAATCGCGACCCGCTGAGAAGATCCGGTGAGAAACTGCGGGCTGATGCATGGGTTAGGTTGCACGTCGACCTCTTTGTTGAGTTCGACTAGTACGGTTAACGGTCAGGATTCGGGGAGTAGTCAGCGGTGGCGATGATAAGGCGATTATCATGACGCATAGCTTTATCGAAGTACCGTTCCGACGCTGACTTCATGTATTTCCGGATTGATTCGAGGCCCAGGTCGTTGTGTAGGTCAATGTTCCTCACGAACCACGGACCTTCGACTGCAAAAGTGGAATTGTAGGGACTGGAAGGTGTCTATGTGTGAGCTGGCCGCATGAGTGAACACTACACTCGCATAAGTTATGACGGGCCATAAGCAAGTTTTGTAAAGTGTCACCGTGTTCCGAAGGGACATTTTACTCCGCTTACAAATCATGGGGTACCGAGTCTACCGAGAATAAAGGTGGCACGGTCGCGGACTGAAGAGTTCAACTGTGATCTATAACCCTTACACTGTACATAATTTTTTTTACAATTGCCAATATAAATTAAAAACAACGTTTATTCAACACATTTTATTCAAAATTGTTTACCGAATAGGTAGGTATTATCCGAAATTTAAAAACTGAAATAGTTTAAAACTCTACTTACAAGTACTTAAATATTCAATAAATAACTTATTTTCTAAGTTTTATAACCACGTAGTTGATAGTTAATACTCAGAGAACATAAATTGGCCCCATAAAACAAAATAAAAATTTTAGCTCATTTTCTTGTTATAATGTAAAACACTGGTTTTGGGATCGGTAGGGGGTATCGTGCATGAAATACAAATGCTAGCAAAGTAAAGACTAGATTAAAGCTTCTATAAATTTCACCTCACTTCAAAGTGTTTGTTGTCACTTTGTTTTTTTATAGTAGAATTTATTGAATCATAAAAATTGAAATTCATAATTGGTCGTGTTTTATAAAGATTGATTTCTTTTTATCATAAAGCAGTTTCTAGAGTGCTGGGTGAAGGTTTTCCTTTTTCTGGAGACGATTTGTTTTGGGTGTTCGGCAAAGGATCTGGAATGGGATTTTTAAATGAAGTGAACTTCGGGGGTGATTGATCGGGTGGGCTTTTGAAGAACTCCGCACGTTTTGCTTGAATTATTTCCGATCTGGATGGTCCTAATTGTTTTCTAAACTCTGGATTTAAAGGGAACACCCCTTGATGTATTGATTCATGAATACTACTTCCAGTTTCAGCAGGACTTTCATTTATCGGTATTAAGTTTCTTCGTGCACCGAAATGTTGGTTTGTGACTATAGATACAGTATTAGACGGAATATTTATAGGAGACACATCCGCTTTTTCTCCAGAACTATTAGAGGTTTCGTCTTCATTGTGAGCTTCGGGAATAGGTGTGGATAAAACATCTGATCTGGGACTAGAAAATCTCCACTGAGATTTCGGAGAATGTAATATTTTAGGCGTATTTTTATGCTCTTTTATCAATGCTGCTGTTCTTCCGGGAGATGCTGGTTGCGAGTTTGATTTGATTACTTTTCTTTGTACGTATGTTTTTGGAGATCCACTTAGATCTAAAATATTGACTTGTGATTTGTTAGTGATTTTTTGTATAGGTTGAATTGGATTATTGTCTTTCGATAGTTTTAGTTGTTCGACAGCGGACAGTTTATTTGCTTTAGTCTGCGGGTTCAATGTATTTAATTTTACGCTGTGTTGGAGTAGAAGTTTTTTGAAATCCAATCTAGATGTTTGAGAAATCGGGCCGTACCTGTCGGCGCATGTAGTATCTTGTTTTTGAAAATTGAATCCGTAACCCAAATTACTCGTCGGAAGTTTGTCGGCCGGCGACCAACTCATTCTGTTTCTGGGATCTCCTAAGTAGCCGGTTTCGGGATAACGTTGGCTGCCTTTTGTATGTAGGGAGGTTTCCGAACTAACCGGGGATAAACTTATATTTGATAAGGCCGGCGATTCTGCTCTTTCCGGTGCGTCTTTAATGTTCAATTTCTTTTTACTTTTATGAATAACAGCGTAAAGTTCTTCATTGGTCATCGTTGATTTGACGGGCGATAACAATTTGCAACTGAGATCAACAACGTTTTCTTTGTTGGACGGAGTTGATGATTTGAAAGATCTAGACGCTCTGGGATCTATTGGTGATATTTTTATGGAATTACCGGCAGAAAGTTGACCTGGATCCTGCTTGAGATTAGAGGAGGTCGGTCTTAATTGATTTGTCTCCGCTGTTCGCTTTGGAAGAGTCCAGAATCGTTGATGTTCCTTTTGGTTTTTAGAAGAGTTATCGTAATTAATGACGTCATGTTTGCCGCGGAGATGCGCTGTGTTGTATTTGTGCAGCGTGGGGTTGATCGCATTCATATCGACAGTAGGCCCTTCGCTTTGCACTAGATTGTGCGGAATATTCAAATAGGCTTTGTCAGCACTGGAATGTCGATAGTCTGAAAACACAACATTCAACAATTTTAAATCATTAATGAGTCTTTATAATTTGTAGGACATAGTACTACTATTTCAAGTTATTCGCAGTTGATTCTGTTCTACTAATTTGTAAAGCTGCTGCATTATATTTTGAAGCTTTTTAAACTTTGCGTGCGAGAATATCTATTAAGACGAAATATAATAATTATTCTTAATTCTTACGTATTGTCAACCCATACCTAAATATTAATCAAAGTGACATTAGAAATCTACAGTGTGTGACATATATACTAAATAATATCTAGTTTTCGATAAAAATTGTGCGGTAATTTAAGTGAATAGCTTAATTCAGTAAGTACAGCGAGTTCTACGAGTGCATGGCATTTTATTCTAATATTCGCAATAATAGAAGCATATAATAATATTTTCTTAGATATTCATAATACTGTAATATATTAATACCAAAATTATATTATAATATGACATGTTATTTAGTAAGGATGCACCAAGCATGCAGTTTTATTTAAACGCGCACTTTTATCGCCAAATATTTAATTAATTTTTATTTGGAATTATTCAATAAGTAACCATCGTTAGCTCGAAACGTATTTAAAGAAAATGAGCCTTCGCGGGAAGGCTGGCAGATGTGAAACATTTGTACTATTTTGTACAGGTATAAATGCATAAAAGGATAGTTTACGACAGGAAATTCAAATGGCATAATGAAAAATAAAATATTAATATTAAGAAACAGTCGCTTGCACATGGCGATATGTCGCCACACACTACTGCATATAGACTATATATCGGTGTTTCCCAACGTGGGCCGATTTGATAATTAAGGGGGGCAATCGCACAAAATTAATATAGAAAACCTGTATTCAAATTTGAATTTGAATTTCAGTTTTTTATTATATGTTTTGAAATATTATGATAATTACTGCATTTTGATAACGATTTCATAGTGATTTCTTCCTAAAACCTATCATTTATGTTTCTTAAATGATTTTTTTAATGTTAAAAATTATGTATTGGGGGCATAAATGTTTTAGAAATGTTACAGTGGGGCATGGCACAAAAAAGGTTGGGAAACACTGGTATATATACTATGATATAGGGCGGCGACGCGTCGCCACACCAGCAATCGGTTTTACGCGCGGCTATATATGTTTCACTACACAAAAAAATAATTGCGAAATATATGATGACATGTAAGTGCGCATTTATTTGTAACACTTTCCTTTACCGGTCATGCCAAGAAAGCAACACAAAACATTACCTTGGGGGCTTGATGAAAAAACACGCAACATTGAAGCAATCTCCTTTCATTGTGCAAAGCTATGAAGATAAGTGCATTAAAAAGGAAATAAAGATGACTCCGTTTTTTTTTAATTATTATTATTGTTAAGACAGTTTGTTATCTGTTGCACTAGTGTAGTTATTCTGGTAATTAGTTTTGTTAAGTATGTATTTCATTTCGATTTGTGGATTTACCATGTAAGTATGTGATAGGAGGTATATTAGATATTTTTATCCCGTGAAAATTTTCACTATTTACAAAATTAACATAAATACATTTAGTTTTCATGTGTGCAACGAAAAACTGAACAGAACAAATTGAATTGGTTTGGTGCAATTAAATGGTGATGCGTAACCGGGTGGGGGAAATGAAATAAGTGCGTTAATTTACAATAATTCTATATTATTTACAAAACGCAGAACACATAGAACAACACACCATGCACTTACATACGAAGAACATGAACCACTCGTAAGCTGTGCTCTCTGCGGTGAAAAAAGCCACCATGCATTGATTTAATCTGATGAAAATATCACTAACAATAAAATAAAATTTCGAACATTGATCTAAAATCCTAATTACTAGACTTATTATAATTCTATCACAGTTTTAAATAATTCAAGGAAGACGTTTGCATTCAATTTATTAGGACGGAATGATAATTAATTGCATTAATTTAAGGTACTATAATTATCGACAAACAAATATTATCATCTTAGAATATCAAAGTTTGATAACAGACATATTTAAACGCAAGAGTTTTTTTTACGAAATATTTAATACATTTTTACCAAATTTCTGTCCCGTATTCAGATTCAGATATCGATAAAATTCTAGCCCTGTGCTTTGAACCATCGACCGGTACAGTGACTTTACTAGGTGTTATGCAAACTGGAGATGAATGCAATAAACATATTTCATCTGGCTCAGAATCTAATATGGCCGTTAAAACATCTATTGAAGTGTCTCGCATGTCAGGTATAAATGCCATTGAATGTCTTTTGGGCATTGGAGTTGCGAACGGGCTGAATTGTAATTCCGATAATTTTGATTCAAAACTACCATCGATGTAAGAACGGTTTTTGGTTTTATCGTTGTTTCGTGACTGATCTATATGGTTTATGTGATCGAGTTTCGGTGAAACAGTTGGGGGATAATTTATTTGTTCGCGCAATAAATCGGCTGTTATTTCCGCTTGAATCATTTCTAATGAGTCTACTTTCTTTGCGTTGCTACTAAAACTATCTAGTTTCAAAAGCTTTTTTATTGGCAGTAAAGGAGAATTTGCCAATTTGTAACTGTCACTACGTTTTATTTTAAAATTAATAGACTTTTCGGATAAATCGTCACCGTTTACGTTGGCATTTAATTCGTCCTCTGTTCCAATGCATTTGGTTCTAGTACCGAACATTTTCAATACTTCTGCTATTTTGCTACCGGATTTTGTGATTTCGTTATGACTTTTATTTTGTAACATTCTAGGTGTTTGAAAGTTAGGAACAAACGGAATTATATCATCATCAGATTTGAATGTAGCATCAAGATCACTTAGTTTCGATTCAAGACAACGTCTTGTGAGGGATTCTTTGCAAACATTCTTACCTGCTGAATCGTCTTTCGTCGGAGATAAGCTGACTCCTTCCGCGTCGTGTATATTAACATACGCTCCTGTTCTAGTGATTGCTTCTACTATTCGCGGTAAATCCTGTTCCGTTTTATGTGTTTTTGGCGGTTGATGTGAAGCTAAGATAGGTGTTTCGGTAACGGGTAAGGCGGTTATGATAGTATTAGGTTTGGGCGTTGGTAGAGTAATAAATTCGGTAGTAACAGGTCCGTCTCGTTCTGCTGGTGCTCTTATGATCGTTTTTCCTAATTGCGGTGAAGTTGGTTTACTTGATGGTTTCTCGCACGGGAAGTCGGTTTCATCAATAACTTTCACAATGTCAGCTGTCTCTCGCTGTATAATAGTCGTAGTAGGACTTATTTCTTGTACAAACGGGCCGGGTTCAAAGGTTGTGTGCGCACCTTTTCGTCGCCGTAAAGTGTCTGAAGAAAAAATGACTTGTCCTTGCGAATCTAACGTAACTTTAGCTCCTTTCTTTTGAATTTCTTCTAATGCCGGAGAGCGTTTATCTTCAAAGCCATGTTCTAGATAATCTTTTCCTTCGTTTAAGCAATTGGGTAATTCGTTGAGTGAAACATACTCAGTGTCGGGTAACTTTCCTGAGAGAACTGTTTGTAAATTCTTTTTAACTATATCATTATTGCCGTACACACTTTTATTATAAGACAATGATTGATTATTATTTTTTACGTCAGCAATAGTTACGTAATCACCGCTATCATAGATGTCAGCGATGAAATCTGGTTCTCTTGTAACTGGCGATTTTTTATTAGACAACTTTTGTGGTAGAACACCCTTCAGTTTGCACATTAAATTGCTCAGAGGTTGTAATGTTTTTAAATTGATTTGACTAGTTGGTTTGAAATTTGGTTTGGCTACGTTTGTGGAAAGTCTTGATTTTTCATCGGTCGGTAATTCTAACTTAGGCCTGTTTGCGATTATCTGCATCTCTGTAATACCTAATTTCTCAACGCTTTTACTCTCTGTGACTTCACAATCTTTATTACTGGTTTCGCTTTCATCATCAGAGTTCGTTGGAGTAATGACACACATAGATGGAATCCGGGAGCTGTTTATTGTCGTTTTATACCTAATTCTTTCAATTCTTTCAGTTCCTTCAAGATCAGAAGATTCTGAGTAATCTTGTTCAGAAAGACTGTTCTTTCCATGAGCACTCGATATAGAATCTTCAATGGGCGAACTTGAAGTATTATGTCCAGAATCTGGCGAACTCGTACCAGTACTTTTCTTTGTACTCTCCGCTTCTGTTTCGGTGTGGACTTCCGCAACTGCCGTAATTTCCCTTCCCACATTATTTGTTATTGTTATAGTTGAAGTGGGCACATTAACTTCAGGAGACGTATTATTAGAGATTCTTTTTTCCGCATATGATCTTACGGAATTATATCTCATATTATTGAATGGTGAGTTAGATGAGAACGATGAATTTATGTTCCTTTCTAATGATGTATTGTTTCGACTTCTGTTTATTTTTGTAAGGGAACTCTTTCGTTCCGGTACCGTTGGACTTGTTACTAAAGATCGATCACTACCAGCCGCCATGAGTGCTGTACAAACAGTACCGGCTGAGCTGGTTGTTGTACTTGTTGAGCCTTTGCCAAATAATTCATATTCGTTTTCTGCAGTCATCGTTTGGCTATTTGACGAATTTGACAAAGCATTGCTCGTATGTAGAGGTGTACTAGGTATGACGTCTTCTTCTTTTAATGTTTTTAAGCCCGAGTCCATGTGAAAGGAAGTGTAGTATCCTTCTGTGTCACATGAAAATTCAGAACTTGTCTCTATATCTTCATGTAGATCGTGAATAATATCGGGTGTTAAAGTACCCTCACTGGTTACACTTCCAGAGCCAGATGTGTTTGGAAAACGTCTACGACTTATTATAGAACTAGGAGGGCCGTGATGGCCGCTTAGTGAATTATTGGATGTGGCAGCGGATGTTGTACTTTTGGGTGGAACAGTAGTCGATGTTATTTCTGACCCTATGCTAGTTCGACCGGATTCAGAACTGGCTGACCAATTCCCGCTCGACGAATGTGGTTCGTCTTTACCAATACCCGATCGTCTCAGACGTCGTTGAACAGAAGTAGTTCTAAGTTTGACTCCACTGTTGATTGTGGCTGTATTAGGAACGGCGGCAGGTACTCCAATGCTTTTTTCGGAGGACGAATATGAGGCACATCTCTGATGCGACCTTCTCTCTTCACTGCCGTCTCGTTTTTTACGCATTGTCACACTTTCCGATACAGAAACAACGTCTTGGTTTACGAGGATCTTTACATCTTTACTTTTATCAAATTTAGTAGTGTCTTTAAAACTATCTCTACTGGCGCTTGGAGATCTACCAATCAATTTCAGTCTATTTTTTCCCCATTGTTTTAGTGAATTGAAGTGTCCTTTTTTCGTTACCGGGTCAATAGGACTTTTCTTAAGTAAGTCGCTAGACTGTGATCTGATGACAGTGTTGTTTTCTTCAACTTCTTCAGAAGCCACAGCATTTGTTGTATCGCTACAGTAAAACAAACCAAGCAAAGCATTAGTCACACGCTGAAGGCCAAATATGATTGAAAATCTCTAAAGAGCGCCGCATAGTCTTAATAACGGATTTCTTTAAAGACAATAAATTAATCATGAAGCTAAATGAACAAATGGCACTATTAGTGTACCGAGTGCACGAATGTTTGGATGTCTTTGTTTTCATTGATAGCCATTTTAAATATAAATCATCATTCAAACAACGACATCCAATGTTGAACAAAATGTATTCACAGAAGCACGAGATAGTATTATCACGAGTTGTTAAAGTTTGTGCTGAAGATTTTAAATGAACATTTTAAGCTTTCTCCACACATACTATGCCAACGGGCTATCGTTAATAGAGTCGCTTAGATTACATTATCTATTTTATTTTATTAGACGGTAGATAAAATTTACGTCAACTGTATGAAGTTCAAATTTAGATAATGTAACCTTAAGTGAGTGTAAGTACAGTGCGCACTAGAAGCTTACCCAGCTATAGCCTCTCTAAGCTCTTTCTGATCAGTGCCCGAAATGGTGTTTCGTCTTTTACCCCGTGGCTTTCTCGGCCTAGTCCGTCGTTTCACGGTGTCAGTTTCACCATTACCGCTCTCTATGTGTAGAGATTTCCGGGAACTGCACATTCGGTCGAAGAACTTGCCCGAGGTGTCGATTGCAACTAATTCCGGTGGAAACCTAGAAGCGTTGACATAAATAATTTAATTCAGATTTTTAAGGGGATCTAGTGATATATCTAGTGTCTCCTCCTCCTTCAGTCGATCGCTCATTGTTGAGCATCGTGATGCGCCCGCCTGTGACCTTTTTTTGTAAATAGTAACCACTTATGTCGGTCAGTGGCACAGTGAAGTGCGTGGCTCAGTCTCATGTCCAGATACTCGGACACTTGGTCACACCATCTTTTTCGGCTCCGACCTCTGGATCGTCTTCCATCCACTACATCACACTTCCATCTAGTGTATGAATCTGATGAATCTATTTTCCTATTTAAATATCTAAATGATAATGGAGCATATTGAAAGACCACACGGATTTCACTATCCTGTCTGTGCACTGAATTGATGGATGAGTTTGCTATTGGGCTATATTATGGACTTAATCTGGTGTCCCAAAATGGGCAGCAGTACTCACGCGATGTCTATAGACTCCAATAGCTACTTAACGTCACGCATTAATAATAGCGTGTTAAATTAATTATTAAGTATATCTAACTCGCTATAAATAATCTGTTGCAATGGAAAAAAAACTATGAAAGTTTTGTAGAATTAAATCAGTTTATAATTACTAACTTGCTAGCGATGACTCTGAGTTGTTCCTCGGGACTTGGCAATTTGTGATCTATGGGCTCGTCGTCGCCTGATCCGCATTCTGACAATTCGTCGGGAGTTAATGTTACACTGCTCGCTATTCTCATTGAAGCATCTGGGAGGGCTGTAACGTCTCCTATTGCTTCTTTTGAGGTCCATTTCCGTAGCTGTTCGACTACATACGGCTGAAAATTAAGAAATTTAAAGGTACTAATAGTATTTTGATTTATGAAAAAAAAAAACGTGTTTTTGATATCAGCTCCACTGTAGATATCATTTTGAAAACTTACAATATGTGTTTCGATTTCGACGTCTACTTTCTGGTAGATTTTTCTACGTTTGTTGCTAAGGACCGGCGTGCACAATAAATATGGGGAATGGTGCGAATCTTTCCGCATTTGATCCAGTATGGCAATAGAAATTCTGTCTGTGGTAGCCTTTTCGTACAGCTTGCGTAGACTTGGCGGCCTGTAACAAGTTAAAAAAATTTTTATTGCTTAGATTGGTGGACGAGCTCACAGCCGACCCGGTGTTAAGTGGTTACTGGAGCCCAGAGACATCTACAACATAAATGCGCCACCCACCTTGAGATATAAGTTCTAAGGTTACAACGGCTGCCCCGCCCTTCAAACCGAAACGCATTACTGCTTCACGGCAGAAATAGGCAGGGTGGTGGTACCTACCCATGCGGACTCACAACAGGTCCTACCACCATTAAATTTTGTTATAAATACCTTATGTAAAATATATAATTATCATTATCTGAAAATATGGATTTTGAATGAATCGTTAAGACGATATATTAATCTATTATTATTTTCCGAATCCTTTGTGACTTATACTATGAAATTTAAAAAAAAAAAAAACTTTTTGTGTGCCTTTGTGCTTGCGTATATTATTAGTTCTGATAAAATATTGGTGATGGACTTTTGAGTTTTTGTTAGTAAAATTTTAAATTAATAAAAAAATGTATGTCTACTTTAGTATACTTCGTCAATGTCACGCGCTCGTATCGAAAAATAAATTATTTGATTTGAATCATGCTACGAGTAATAACTAACTAAAATTCTAGAAAAAACATAAATCGATTTTACAGAAAAATTAGTAAATTAAAACAAACAGTATACATATTAAAATTTAATAAACAAACACAAACCTCGTGTCGGGAACGAATAGGCCATTTTTATGGGGATTGCTTGCCGTGTAATGGACTTTGCGAACAGCAAAGTCGGACAGGCTCCCCTCCGCTGTAACAATAAATAAAAAAAACATTATACTGTGTATTAGATTCAGAAATCACCGATTTTTTTTCAATAACAAATCATCAAGTCGTTACTCTGTTGAAAAGAATGACTACTCATACAAAAATACAATGAAATATGTACCTAACGAGTGTATGTACAGTGTGCTTAGTGCGAGTTTTTTAAGGTTCTCGATAGCGTAAACGTTGACTCGAATTTGTATGTAGTTGGAACAGCGCCACTAGCGGCAAACGTAGGCAAATTTTTCAACTCCATACAAATTTGAGTTAACGCTTACGCTGTCGAGAACGTTAAAAAGTTCGAACTAAGCACACAATACCGTTAATTTTATATTTGAAATTTGATCAGATTTCTCAATATGGTGGCATTCACATTATGCTGTCTATGGTCTCGCTGACCTATATAAACACAAGGTGGATCATGAGTACGTTATCCAGTCTATACAAATTATTTATTTATTTTAATCTGGTTAAACTTGTTCAAATTATTTATTTCAATCTGTAGTGAACGTAACATCAGTTTGTAAGGTTTTCATTTGTTTTATTGTAGTTCAATAAAAAAAACACAAGCAAACATTGTAGATAAAAATCCGCAGTCATGATGGAGATAAATACAGAGTCATTAGTCAAGAGCTCACCTCCCAGGCAATCGCCATTAGTTGCCAGGCTACGCCATTGCTCATTTTACTTTTGTACCTTAGAATATCAAGTCTCCTACTTTTCATGACAGATAGTTAATAGAGCAAGTTTACCATAATATATTAAAATTAGTAATCGTTTGTATGGAATCATTCATTACATAGCTTGAAGGATTTGAATAAATGGGAAACCATTTCAGACAGACAATTTATCAGATTCACAATCTCTACTGCGACTGAGACAGAAATTTCCAAAAGTTCAATGAACCATCTAAAGTTTTTAGAAGCGTTTTTAAGTTGTCTAAATGATTCTTGATCCGTAATGCAAGAAAGAAAGTAAACTTAATTAGAACGAAGATAAGACAATCAAAATCCAATTCCTGAAGTCGTGTTAAAAGAATCGTGACGTGATCAACCCTGATTTCTAATTATAGATTTAAGAAAATAATAGATGATATTAGTACAGTTGGATCAAGATGGATTGAAAGAGGACAAAAAAGCCATCGTGCACAATGAATGGATTGAACAAAATACGATCAACGGAGAAATGCGTGATACATTTGCAGCAGTTGTTTATTTTAATTTATTTCATAGACGGGTGAACGACCTCATAAGACACCTGGTTTGAAGTGGTCACCTGTGTGCTTAGTGCGAGTTTTTTAACGTTCTCGCTAGCGTAAAAGTAACTCAAATTTGTATGCAGTTGAAACAGCGCCTCTAGCGGAAAACGTAGGCAAACGTTCCAACTCCATACAAATTTGATTAAACTTTTACGTTATCGAGAACGTTAAAAAACTCGCACTAAGTACACTGATCTCTTTGTCATCACTATGTGAGTGCGACTACCCGGCCTGAGAAATGAGGTCTAAATTCCAATTGTATAACGACCATCTGACCCTTCAACCGAGAAACTATGATTTCTTGCCAGAAGCCTAATTCACCAAAAGTCATAATAATATGCGTCAAAAGTCACGCCGACTACAATTACCTGGAATAGGCAAAGGCAATATTCTAAAGTAAATATTTCATAAGTAAAAGTAATTATTAATCTCCTCTCTGTACCTGAATAATACTTTTGAAAATTTCCTCACGTGTCATCAGAAGCGATAGAAAAACAATGTGGCAGTGTTTAGTGACGGCAGTGTTTAGTGATCTGTTAAATACCAGGAGGACGTTGGCTCATCTGTCTAGCAACCCTCACTAAAAATACATTTCTGAACCTATAAATATAGGTTTTTCCCAATTTTACATTGTTGCTTTTATCAGAATAAAAAAACAATAAAATTTATCTCCAAATACATTCACACGTATTGCATAACTGGAAATGGCACGTTTAGTTGAAGTATTGTGGTACATTTCACATTATCTGTGTAATTGAAGACATAAATTTCGAAGCGGACCAGACGGCCGAGTAGGTACATGTTGATATAAACCATTGGTCATTGTGGTCGACTTGAATGTCTGCATACGAATCGAAATAAGTCCATGTATACATTAGCATTTTCGATTTGAATCTAATGCAATTGCCATGCGAATCGAGCCATACGCAGATTCTTGGAAAACACAACGTTGTGTTTGTGTTAATACTGTGCATAAAATTTTTATTTTCCCTTTAGGCAATAATCTCAACTTATATTATTACATAGTTTCCTCAATCCATGTTCATTGCTAAAGAAATTAATATCACTAGAGGTCCCGCGGTAGTCGAAATTCGATTTTAATCAATTGTAATTGTAAGTTTGTACACTATTATGATTGTATTTTATACTTCTATAATCACAAATTTCGCTAAGACTACACTATAAAAAATCTAAACAAAGACAGACAATATTTAATCTATTCTCAATTTGACAACAGACGTCAAGAACAAAAGTTTGACAATAAATAGTAGTATTCATGCGTGTGTGCGTCAAATACATGGTATGTAGTGTGTGTAATGTTTTCTTTATTGATTTAATGTATCTTTTATGCATTATTTAAAAAAATATTAGCATTGTGCACTTCTTCTCTATATTCTCTATAAGTGTGGAAAATTTCATACTGCTCCGTCCGCGCAATTTTCGTAAAAAGGGATACAAAGTTTTTGCTTTACGTATTAATATATAGATAAGTTATGTTATTGCAAGGAATATTGCAACGATCACGATCCTACCAATTTCTGTATTGAAACGATTATGCATTCTCGTATGAATTGCTGTGCTATTGCAATTGAGATTATAAACTTATAACCTCAAAGTGGGCTACGGCATTAACGCTGTACTGTTTATGGCTCGCTAACAACGGGTGTACCGTGAGTTCGTAACTTTGTAAGTAACCTTAGCTAAAAATCATCAAGAGTCTTAGAGTGAATATAGTGTGAAGATTGATACAGCAAGTGAAAGTATATTTACTGTAGCTCACAATTCATCATAATAGCGACAAAAGCGTTGCTATACGTCAGGGAAATGGCCTCAGGAAACTAGTTTCATACAAAATAGATAGTGAGATTGAATAGGATTGCAATAAGAAGTACGCGAGGCATTGCAAGGTCCATTGTGAGGTGTATTGGCCTTGGATTGAAGCCCCGCGGGATAAGCGCGCGTGCGGGGACTCAGTGGGTGGCTAGTTTCCTACCTGTCCTTATTTACTGTAACCTAAATACATTTCGAAAGTTTATTCATATGATGAACGAATATTCCGGTCTAACATTCATAAAAAGAAGACATAAAGAATGCTTACATGGAAATCATTACTTTCGATTTCGAGCCAATTTATTTGGATAGTTATGATTGATGCTCATAGGTATTTTGAAGTTATTACAATACTTAAAAATGTTAACTATAACATAATGTACTATCAGTTTAATCTTACTTTATTGAAATACAGTTTTTTTTAATCTTCTGCCTTGGTTAAGTCACGTTTACTTGTATTACAGAGTGCTTAGTGAGAGTTTTCTATCGTTCTCGATAGCGTAAAAGTTAACTCGAATTTGTATGGAGTTGGAACAGCGCCCCTAGCGGCAAACGTAGGCCAACGATCCAACTGCATACAAATTTGAGTTAACTTTTACGCTATCGAGAACGATAAAAAACTCGCACTAAGCACACTGACTTATTTATTTTTGGGATAACGAGTGACCTGGCTTTGCTTTAAATGGCGCAACGTAAGGAAATAAAGTGTTTTTGAAACAAACATTTCTTGGATTATCATTCAAAATTTTTAATGAGAATTAATTATGCACTGGCCGTTAGGCGAATTCATGGACAAATTTAGTCTCGTAACAATACAGTTGTAGCGGTTCCACTTATTCAAAATGAACTTTAGTGTTAACCATTCTTAGAGTTGTGTTTTAAACAGCACGGTTGTTTTCTCTGGAATCGTCGGAGATGATTTTAAAATGTTAGTTTTACCACATTTTTCAACAAACAAACTGTCCAGCCATAGCGCACTTCTAGGGTTTTCGCCATGAAACATATAGCTTGCAATGAATTTCCTTACACAATGTTGCCTGCAGGTTTGTCGTCAACTAGGTTTGAAAAAGTCTTCGGCGATATACAGAAGAATGGTGTCCCTGTCATTCTTGAAGTGAATGAACGACGTTGTTCCAAATTAGGTGCATTTGATGCGTTTGCCGAATAGGGCATTAAAGACCACAAACAATATTCTAATTTTCAACTAAACATATAATTTAACAGCGCCGCACCGACATATGTAATTTTTTTTATTGCTTTGGTTTAGTGGCCCAGCTTACGGCCCACCTGATGTTGAGTGCTTACCGGAGCCCATAGACATCTACAACGTAAGTACCGCCACCCACCTTCAGACATGAGTTTTAAGGTCTCGGTGTCAGTATAAGTTAGTATTTAGTATTAAGTAGTAGTAGTAGTTAGTGCTAAGTTACAATGGCTGTCTCACCTTTCAAAATGAAACGCATTACTGCTTCACGCAAAAATAGACAGGGTGGTGGTACCTACCCGTGCGGACTCACAAGAGATTCTACCACCACTAATTACGTATATCATAATTTTGCGGGTTTGATTTTTACTACACGATGTTATTCCTTCACCTTCATCTATATATTAATACGTGAAGCAAAAACTTTGTATCCCTTTTTACGAAATTTTCGCGGACGGAGGAGTATGAAATTTTCCACACTTATAGAGAATATAGGGAAGAAGTGCACAATGCTAATACTTTTTTTAAAATAATGCATAAAAGATAAATTAATAAAGAAAACATTACACACACTACATACCACGTATTTGACGCACACACGCATGCATACTATTTATTGTCAAACTTTTGTTCTTGACGTCTGTTGTCAAATTGAGATTAAATATTGTTCGTCTTTGTTAATATTATTTATAGT